TCTTTTTTGACACAGAGTCTCACTCTATATGCCACAATAGGCTGGGGATCACCATGTAGCTCAGGCTGGCTAATAGCTCTTCTTCTTCACTCTCCTGCATTCTGGGAATACAGGCATCACCACCAAATCCTTTTCAGATATGGATTTTGTTTGTTTGAATGGGGAAGGTGCAGAGTCAGGTGTATGCCATGTCTGGTTACATTGTATCCACAGGTAAAAGTCAGAAAAGATAAATGCTGGTGCTCAACTTATTTTTTATTTTGTTCAAAACACTAGGCGTGGGATGGTGTTATTCCCATTTGGGGTTGGTCTTCTGCCTCAGTTAAGTCAGCCTAGTCACTGTCATCATTCCTACCCACTTTCCAGCTACATAACCACACATGTGCTGTCCAGCAACCAGGCAAAATGCTTTGTCACTCCAGGGCCTTACATCCTACGTAATCCATGCTCTGGGATGCCTTTTGGAAATCCTCAAACCTCTCAGCCTAACGCCCTACTTAAAGACTTGTAAACTTATCTTCCTCTACACTAAAAAAAAAGCCTATATAACCCTTAGTTAACAATAAAAAATAGCCACCTAATGGCTCATTGGACCCCAATATTTTACAGGAATTATCTAACGTCTGTCACCAAATGGGCAAATAGAAAGAGTTACCTTCTACCCAGGCCTTTTTCTATCTCAGCTCCAAACCCTCTCTCCTTGACTCCTTCTCACCTGCCCTCATGCCCCTACTTATGCAACCTGAACCTGAGGACGCCCTCACTACTGCTTTAGATGCTGCTAATAAACCCCAGCCTCTCCAACCTCCCACTCCTTCTTCTCCAGTGACTGTTCCTTCTTCGGCTCCTCCAGCCCCTTCCTCCTCTTTGATATCAGGCTGCTCTAACCACTCAACTCTGGCTCCCACCGTTACTCCTCCTGTCACACATTCTTGAGCTGCTAAGGAACCCCCGTCTAGTTAAACCAACCGGCAGCCATCCTCCCTTGGCAAGAGGTAGCTGGAGTGGATGGACTGTTTAAGGTACATGTCCCTTTCTCACTGGCAGAACTCTCTCAGACAGAGAGAAATCTGAGTTGTTATAGGTGTAATTCTACTTTCTTTGTTAAATAATTCCAGTACATAACCCAATCCCATAGTCTCACCTTTCATGTTATATACATGATCCTTACTAACAACCTACTTCCTTAGGCGTGCAGACAAGTCTGGGAACAGGCTAGGATACACGTATACGAGGTCCACCAGATTACTGCAGCACATCCTCCCGAAGCAAAAGCAGTTTCCGACCAGGATCCACAATGAGATTATAATACCCCAGGTGGCACTCAAGCTAGGGATCAGTTCACAACCTGCCTCTTAGCAGGTCTTTATGAGGCTGCCCTCAAACCAGTAAACTATAGAAAGCTTCAAAAGATAGTTCAGGACAAAAAACAAAATGGGTCTCCATTTCTAGAACAACTTACAAAGGCTCTCTCACAATATACTAATCTAGATACTGAGAGCCCAAAGGTTAGAGAGCTCCTTAGGAACCATTTCATCTCACAGAGCTTCCCCGACATTAGGGCCAAATTTAAGCATCTGGAGAGAGATCCCCTGACCCCACAGGCAGAAGTTTTAGCGCTGGCTTTTAAGGTGTACCATGGGAGAGATGAGAAAGCCCGTAAACAAAACTGCCAAGTGCTGGCCAAGGCTATCTGACCGGCCGCCTGAGGGCCCCAAGGTCCCTGTTTGAAATGTGGTCAAGAAGGCCATTAGGCTCATACCTGCCCTGTCCTTTGTGGGTCACCTGGGCCATGTCCAAAGTGCCACCAAGGGGGACATCCGTCAGTTGATTGTCCCAGTACACCTCGTGGCATGGGGACATCAAATGAAGACCATGCTCCAGCTGATCTCCTAGGCTTGGCGATGGACAATTGAAGGTACCCAGGTTCAGACCCAACAACATCATCTTCCACAGAGAACATAGAGTAGCCATTACAGTATTGAGGTGATACATTTCCTTCCTTTTGGACACTGAGGCAACTTACTCATACCTGAAGGAGTTTTAGAGTCTCACCTCTCCTTCTCATCTCCCTATTGTTGGGGTAGGGGGACAGACTTACCTTCCTTACAGACCCTACCACCTAATTGTATTTTCAGGGGTGTATCCCTCTTACCCACACATTTTTGGTCATTCCAGCTTGCTCTGTTCCCCTAATGGGAAGAGATTTTTTTTTAGCTAAGGTAGGCGCTTCCATTTCATTTGCTCCCCCAATTTGCCTGTCCTCAGACTCACCAGCAGCTCCTCTACTCCTCCTGCTAGCCACCCAGCTCACTAGCTCTAACATGTCATTTCCCTTGCCAGCCTCTCAGGTGGACCCCAAAGTCTGGGACACCCAGAACCCTTCCATTGCTAATCATCATTCCCCTATTGTTATCCAGTTTTTCAGGACCCTACTCCGTACCTCACCCAAGCTCAGTACCCTCTCTCACTACAGAGCCTTAGGGGACTTAAGCCTATCATCTCTGACCTTCTAAAAAAGCTACTTCACCCAACTTTTTCTCCTTTTGCATCCCTATACTTGCAGTAAAAAAGTCTAATGGAACCTACCACCTGGTTCAAGACCTCTGGCTCATTAATTCTGCAGTGGTCCCCTCTATCCTGTGGTCCCCAAATCCTTATACACTCCTTTCCACTATCCCTTCAGGAACCTCCCATTTCTTACTTCTGTATCTCAAGGACGTTTCTTTTCTATTCTTCTCAGTCTCAAAATATCTTTGCCTTCACCTGGACTGACCTTGACACTCACCTTTCTATGCAGTTGATCTGGACTGTTTTGCCACAGGGATTCCAAGACGGCCACATCTATTTGGTCAAGCCCTAACCTCTGACTTCGGCTCTAAACTCATGCAGTATGTAGATAACAGTCATTTCCTCACAGACATGCTTAGCAGCTCAGATTTTGTTTTACATGAACATGTTTTGGAGACATTTTATTTGACTTTATTCAAACAACCCAAGAACTCACTTCTGGACTCTGTAGCATTTAGAATTCTTACCTGTTTGTGGCTTACTTGTTTCCTTGAAATTTTGAATTTGATAGACCATGAGTTCATATTTGATAAAGCTTGAGATGCATGGCTAAAGATCTGCTGTCTTAGGATGAGTCAAGTCCATGGCTCTTTGTTATATTTTCATTCTCTTTCATCATGGTGTCTCCTGAAGGCTCTTGTCTATTTACTAAGCTCATGGGCCTTTCCTTTCCCTGAGATCCTGGAATTCTCTCTGAGCCTTTTTTAGCATTACCTAGCATTCTTTCATTCATATGTTGACTGTTTCTGGCTTGTTTAGCTTCCTTTAGCCTCTTCAATTAAAAAAAGATATTTGGGTAAAAGGGGTGGATCTCTTCGAGATCCTCAAGCCCACGCTTGAGGTTACAGGCCTCCAATAAGTTTCTTGACCTGGTTCAGGAGCCTAGCACTTGGAGGGCTTCTTTTGACTTCTCAGTCCTAGAAAAGTCTTGCCTCAAGTCATCTTACTGATATAGGGATTAGAACCCACAACCTCTGAGTGCCCTCTCGGTGGTTTAGTGTTTTGAGTCATACTTCATTTAGTCTCAGTGATGAGCACTTAGAGAGCCATTGAGGTCATCCCATCTGCACCTGTGTGAAGTTTGGATTCATCTAGCTGTCAAAGGCTCTCAGAACATTTCTGTGTAATTTGTGGTATTGAAAATGAAATTAAACTCATGCCATTATCTGCATTCCTTAGAATGGATGTAGCAATGTTATATGGACAGAAAAATTCTATAATCATCACATGTGTGTTAAGGTGACATTCAGATGCATCTGTTTCCTATCCTGAAGTCACCTGCTGGAAGCCTATTGAGTAAATGTTAATGAATTTAGGTATACCTCAGCTACAAATGGATCAGAGCTTCCTAATGGAACATTACAACGACCTAGATCCACTTGGCTTAGTCTACTGATTTAAATTAAGTTGAGCACCAAAGCCAGTAAAATATATTAGAGAGGAATTAGCTGTACTGCCGAAGCATTTCAAGGGTGTTCTTAGAACTCAAAGAAGAGGAGGGAGAATAAGAATGTCTTTTTGTATCCATCCAGCCTAGAGCTTAAGACACATATTTGGAGAGATGGGCTGACAACTTCGTTGTGTGAGTGGAATTTGCCATGTGACCTCCATTAATGTCTAAAGATTGCTCCTAGTTGAATCTTTAAAACATCATGCTAAAAGCATGCCGTCAAGTGCCTGCCAAATTTGGTTTTAAAATTCAGCTGGTTTTAGCTAGAGGTGAGGATTTTTTTTTAAAAGAAAAACACTGTTGTTTTTCCCATTTTTAAAAAGTTAAAAGTTGGATTTTTCTATTTGGTTCATTGTTTAAGAAAACAGTGTGCACCCACCTCTCAAATCCCACTGAAGCCTCTAAGTGGCATCTTAAGGCATCTGCCCCATCTGCCTGTCTCACTCTTCTTTAACATCTACCATCATGAGCTAAACCTAAGTCTAATATGTTTAATTAACTCCTCCTATGTCTATCACTGTTTATAGCCCAGGTGTTTTATTGTTTATATTTCTTACGTGTCATCTCCCCATCATGAAAAGGTAAATATTCAAGTGTATAATTTGTAAACACTATATTTGTTGTAGCTTTCACTGTAATTTAAAATGTTTTCCTCATGCATCTAGCTCATACTACCTGCTGACTTACTCATTTTTTAGAAGCTACACTAGGTCAGCCAGCGACACATATAGAAAACTTAATTTTATCTCCCCCCACCTCTGAGGGATGCTTCTGTTTGAAAAATAACTTAAGCAAATCAGAATTGGTAATAGTTGTCCTCAGATAATTTGTACAATTGTGCATGAAATTACTTGTTTTCTTACATTTCCTGAAGAATGTTTCTTGTTTCTTCTCCAGTAGAAACATTCTCACTAGTGATTTGAGGCTGAAATCTGGGCTTCCCAATGCTGTGTTCTCTAAGAACTCTTCTTATGCTCAGGTCTACAAAACTGACAGCGAACACATAATGCCCATTCCTAAAGACCTCTCAGCATGGCTGTGGAGCCAGACATCACAGATGAGGAAGTGGGAAGAATTCCCAACCTTTGATAGATTTCTTCATGGTAAGTTGTGCTAAATCAGAGAAGTTCCATGGAAAAATCATGTAAATCAACCAACTTGATTTTATAATTAATATTTATAGACAGTTACTTGGAATCCTACATCAGGTTCTGAAACTTAAAGAAAGGAAGATGGCTAATTCTGGAAACTTTTGATTTGTGGTATTTTATTTCTCCTTAAAATGAGATTCATATTGAAAAGGAAGTTATTTTGTCTGGGAAAAGTGTAAAACAAATAGGATAATAAATTCTTTAATGGAGAATGTATATAAATACTGTTAATAGTATTAAATATGGCACAAATATAAATATGTATACATCCACCTATGTAATATATGTAGTGTGTGTGTTTATGTGCACATACTATATACATAATTTTCTAGTAGGCACACATTAAAAATCAAAAGGATCTGGTAAAACATAACATATTAGCTCCAAATACTCAAAACATACTTTTTTAACATGTGATCAATTCGAAACATAATGAGAGACTGTCATAATTTTGTTTCATACCAATTGCTCAAAATCTGCTCTCCTATTTATAACATAAAAGAATTCAAAATGGCCAGTAGACACACTGGAATTTTAACAGGAGCTAACACCCCTAAGATTTTCTAAATTTAACATCCCTAAATTTTCTAAATCTCCTTTCTACCTCTGTCCTTCTGTTTCCATATGATCTGAGATATAGTTTCCTAATGAAGAAAACAGAGAAAAAAATTAGTTGTTCGCTGTGTTGTCCTGAAGGTTACATGAATTCCAAATTCTAAGTAGTAAATAGAACACCTTAGAAGATGCAGAGGAAATGACATTGCTGAGAAAATTACCCGAGCCTGTAAAGGAATTTTGAAAACAATACGTGTGATTTCCAAGGCTGTAATTTTATGTTTACCACATGTCATTACCCCAGCTGTCTGATCCCCCCATTTTCAAGGCTTAATGATCAATGCTGTTATGAGCTCATCCTGCATGAAGGGTGTGAGTTTGCCTTCTTTGGCGAGTCAAGTTTTCCCACTTCAGGTATTCAGCTAAAATGTTTCTTCATACTTGTTTTATAAAGCAGGCAAATGTTGAAAGGGTAAAGAAACGGTAAGGTCTGGTTTGAGTGGTTTTCAGTCTATGCTTTTACTTTAGGATGAATAATTTAGCTGGGTGGAAACAGTGGGGGTTTTTTCCCCCATAATGTTGGTGGAATATATTCACATAATTGGAATTGGTTGTGCTCATAATTGCATAAATGCTCTGCTAGATGTAGAGTATAACATGACCCATTTTGTCAGTTCACACCATGACTAGGACAAATGGAAGAGCAACAATGGCAGTCAGCGCTTGCATCTTTCAGAATTCATAGACACCAGGACAGTGTTGTGGGAAGCCTATCATAAGCGACAATGTTCACATAGCTGCCCACCACCTCTCAGAAGTAAGTGCCAGACATCAATAACAGTCTTCATTGTTCAAAGGAAGCAATAAGGACAAAAGAATCAATGATACTGCAACCAACATTGTAATTGCTACCCAAGAGGAAAATATTAATTCATGACCACATCATCCTTTGATGCTAGCCAAAGGAGGTGGGGGGACTGTAGGAATTCAGTCAGACCATCCAGGATGGCTGAGACCCATAGAGAAACTGGAGGCCCCAAAAGCCCTGCTTTACCCCTAAGGCCTACAGAGAAAGGAGATTGCAGAGTAAGCTGTTCACAGGATTTTTTTTTCTGTCAGCCTCAAAAATCGGTGGCTCCATTAGTCCTCAGAGTGATAATCAAAAAGGATGATTGAAGTTCTTCCTCCTAATGAGGAATGATGGAAATGTCCTGGTAGCATTGTGAGGGGCTTGAGATTTCACTTCCCTCAAGTCGAACATGAACAGATAAAAGCCCAAGGAAGTCAACTGAGAACTCACTCAGACTGCTTCTTCACAAAGTCATTCAGGGCTGGAACATAGATATGTTTTTCTTGTATCCTGTGGATTCATCTTTACAGACATTCTTGGTACTCTCTCATTTGATTAGATTAAGAATCAGTTCTCCTTTTTCCTTCAGCTGGATCCTAAAGAATGGGAGAAGAACTCCAGGTGGCAGGGGCCAAAGAACCTTTTTCTAGAATGAGAAATTCATTAAAGAGCTCTGTCCTCCCAGAGCTCACTTTCACAGTGGGTGGTCATGTGATTCAGTAGACCTACAACTGACACTGTTCACATTTTTCATGCTGTATCCAAAGTGCCAAGTCTGGATTGTTCTAGCATGGCAAACTAAGCCTCAAGAAAGTCCTAAAATACAGTCAGAAAATATCTTAGCATCTGGACAAAATGGAAGTCATTTAAAATGCCTGTTTATATTTGGATATTTTTCAAACAGAAATTTTCTCTTTTCAGTTTCTACTGAATGTAAGTAGCACCCTCTTCATAGAGATGTTAAGCTCCTTGAATTCTCAGCATTGGCTAAAATTTCCTTTGTAAGTAACACTGTTGCATACACTAAGTCTGTGGAAGCCAAGGAATTGTGCTGAAAGCTCTGGACTTTGAGTTATAAGAACTGCAATTTTTAGATTCAAGTTGGCCACTACTAAAACACTACCTGCCTAAAATGCCTATGATTAAATAAAATAAAAGATATTCCCACATCAAGTAAACTATATGGCACAGTACAAATGTAACAGTTTGTTATTTTGCTCAAAATCTAATAGGTATTTGCACTCACATACTGAAATCATTTATATTTTTATACTGTCTTTCCTATATGATAGAAAGAGATTATGCCCAGATTGGAGATGTTTATTGATAAGCTTCCTATCTAATTTTTGTCACCCATTTATTTTAACAAGACAGCTTACCTCATAGCTGACTTGAAATTTGCCTCAAATATTCCACTGATAGTGCAGACCCACTGTTTATGGTGTAAAAATCAAACTAAACATTTATAAAATCTGCAGAAGATTCTCACTAATGAAAGCGCCATTCGTGGCGTGCTAAAACATGCGCACACATAGGTATTGCCCCATTTATCAGACATGAGAGCTAATTACCTCATACACCACTATATCTCTTCCACTCTCTGCATTTCAATTCCCAATATTAACACATAGGTGGTCAAGCTGACCATCGAATAGCCTGCATGAGTATGAATGCATTAAATAATTTAATGTTGAAAGAGTTTATTAAACTGCCACATTCTAATCAGCATGTGTACCTGCCTTCATTAATTTTGCACTGGTCCATGGTGTGTCTCCACAGCCAACATGAATAGCTCTAATGTTAATAGGAGCTCTTAACAAACAGGGCCAGTTAATCAAGGGAAATTTACTATTAACCACACGGCCATGCATACTGCAATCTAATTACAATCAGATTTAACCCTCACCCTGCCACACCCATTTAGACATCTTTCTTATTACTTGTCAATGAAATGCCAGAAAATAAGGTATCATTATTTCATTACAGTGAGCAATATCTGCATCTGCATATGATTAGGAACACAAGAGAGTTCTCTGCTTGGTAAAGTCCCCTGTCTTTTTTAAATTGCATTACCTTTAAAGATCACCATGAGGAGCCCTCCAATTCTGTTGCCTAAATATTTTTTATTTTCTAAAAATAATTGAAGATGAACAGAGATTCTCCAAATGAACACCAATACTCTAAATTGGTTCAGGTAAAATTCAGCATTTGCTAAGTTAGAGCATTTGCTATGTCAACAGTGTGCATGAAATCTCCCATTTTAGTTTCACTATTCAACTAAATCATCTAAGGCATTAGCATTAAATCTGAGCTCATGGGATCCCCATCATTTGACCATATTTTTTTTACTTCCTCTAGTGAATTGGAGAAACACCTGCCCTGAAGACTGACTTACATGTTCGGAGAAGCAGGCACAGGTCAGAAGAAGTGTAGCTTCTCTTGTTTGCTTGCCTTTCCTTTCCCAAATTGGCATTGTGCCTTGCTTGTTCTTTTGGGTTAGATGACTTTGTACATTCTGTGATGGATTTCAGGTTTGGTATTTGTACTGTTTTTAGTGAAAGGATTTGAATATGGATAATGTTGAGATTGGGGGGCAGCAATGCTGATATTAATGAATTTTTGAAGATAGACAATGCAACATGTTTTTTTTTTAATATTTTGGTTTATGGAATATGAGCCCAGGCTGAAGGAACCAAAGGATCCTGACACCAGGTTCCTAGGAATGCCTGTTCAATAACTGAAAAGCTTTGGAACGTGTTTCACTGAAGGACTCTAATTATCCACCATAGACATTTTGTCCTATTGGGGCAGACTATTTTCTTGTGCTATATTTTATTTCATTGCAGGCCAAGTTATCTTGTTTCAATGACATAGACAACTCCATGTGTGTCGACTGTAGGATCATCTTTGTTTGTCTAGAGAGGTTTTGGATAAAGACTTTTATTCTGTATCCTAGCACAGCAATTCTTCATTGTATTGGAATTTCCCAATGATTCCCAGGTTTATAAGTGAATTATAAGATTTTTCTAGAAAGCAACTATGACATCTGTGTTTTACAACATAGCCATCTTACCTGTTGAAACCATCAGATGCTGAGTTCAGAACAATGGTCCAAAGGAGCTTAGAACTAGAGTTCTTACCGTCATACCACAAACCTATGCACTCCTTGAGGTAATGATAAGCTTTTCCTCTCTCTAACTACCCCAGAAGCAAGTAGACCAGGCTTGGAGGTGGTGATATGACCAGACAAGCTACAGCCCATAGGGGAACAACTATGATGGGAATCCTCAAGGACCCACATCGAACTCCTCTGAGGATTCTGTCTTACAAAAAAGAGACTGAAGAATAGTACTCATTTTTCTGTCTTTCTGTCTTATAGATGATAAAAATAATGATATATCAATGTCAAATGAGGAAATATCTTGTGAATTTTATAAAGTAAAAATAATGTGAACATGCCACAGTATTTTCCAAAATGACTGATTATAAATATGTCCTTTTGAAAACCGGAGAGTTTTGCTTTGCTTCTGTGTTATTGTCTTGGCGCTTTGATCTACATACATTTGACTTGTTATCTAGGCAATCTTTATGATTGGGGAAAAGCACTGCACAGAGTTGGGAGATTTGAATTCTGTTTCTACTCTGTTAGTTCTCTCATCTGGAGAGGAGAGAGAGAGAGAGAGAGAGAGAGAGAGAGAGAGAGAGAGAGAGAGAGAGAGATATTAATTCATCTCCAAAAGTTCCTGAACATGTTCACTTTAATTCTATAAAGTAATAGAACCTAAAGGACAATACAGGACCCCAAATTCCCTACAGAGGTGCAAGAACCTCAGCTGAACAGTCGAGGGAATATCATCAATAGATGAATAGATGACTTCTCTCCCTACTCACCTTTTTAATTTCTGAAGTTTCACGTTGAAAAACAAAGGGCATCCAGTCCCCAGTCTCTGGCTTTTCTTCCAGTCCTTGCAGAATGTACAGGCTCTACACTGAGGGATAATAATGCAATAGTAGTCTATATGACTCATAAATATAATTTAGTCTGGAAATGTCATATGATAATCCCACATAAAGCCCTATTCATCAAAGGCCTGAGCTGTCAGGTCGTGATGGTACTTTGATTATTTTACACATTATTTACACAAGGAAGAGCCAAAAGGCATATTCTATACACGGTTTAAGAACGAAAAAGGCTCTTTAAAATTGAAGCTTTATCCTTTTCACAAATATGGCTAATTCTGAAAATGTGAGAGGCTAGATAAGTTGAATTGGCCTGACTATGATAAATACAAACCAACTATACACATACATGCATACAGACACACATATATAGACATCGTACCTTATGGAACATGAGAATAAAGTTGATACCGTTGTATAACAGCAAGAAAATACAATACAATAAAATAAATAGCATTTAGCCTGAGAAGTAGCGTTTGTCTGGAGTCACAGAGAGTGCTCAGCAAGGAGCCTCCACAACTATAAGTTGATGCAACATTTGCTTAATAATCCCAGAGGTTTGGAGCCAGGTGCCAGTGAGGAAGAGTGAGCAGGTTAGTGAGCTTGTTGTAAAGTTGATGCTGTTACCTGCCATTCAGGGAGAGTGAGGCCCCTCCCGGGGCGGGGGCACTGCTTGCACTCACACCCCTCCCAACATACTGATGTTGTTCTCTTGAGACAATGATAGGAAGAAAGGAAAGGAAGTATGTGGGAAAGATGCCAACATATCTGAGAATTCCAAATGAAAACTGAAACTAAAAAAAAAAAAAAAAAAAAAAAAAAAAAACCAACCTCTTACGTTTCTTTTCCTTGCATTTTCTTTTCATTCTTGATGACTCTGATTTATTAAGAAATTTCTCTTGGAACAGATAGGAAAGGGGTGGTTTAATATAGGGCATGAAAGCACACTTGTCTGTGGGGTCATACTTGCCCAGCTGGATACAGCTGCATTATCCTGTACATTGTCTTAAAGTTCCTTGGGTTCCCTGATATTTCTGGGCCCTAGTAAGAGATCACTAATTAGGGAAACTTTGAAATACTCTACTTTGTATCTACCACGAGGATCCATCAAACAATATATTTCTTGTTGTATTTATACTGTTATGAAAAGCAACATTGGATTGAACACCCTGCTAAGATGTGAGCTAAGGTGAAGCCTTTTTCTTAAAAGGAAAGTTGACTTCAAAGTACTAAAATGAAAACTGTAGTACAGATGTTAATAAATGGTCTACAAAATGCTTTCATATGACATTATGTCAACCTAATTGTTAAATTTAATATTCACTAAAATTTCACTGTTTGAAAATTCATGAGTTTATGTTTTCTCACTTTGTAAAATTTTCAACTCCACATTTATGATTTCTGAGAGCTCATAACAAATTGTGAATCAAGCCAGTGACTTGGAACCAAATTATTTCAAAAGCAAATTTGAAAATATCATTTCAAAACTATATAGTAATATTGCATTTCATGTGGGTCGCGTGTGTGCTTTTAAACAGTGTTACCTTGTGGGGCAGAGTAGGAGGCTTTCAATGCCAATATAGCAAAATCCTGGGTAAAGAGTCAACTGTTTTCACAAAGTAGCTTTATTGAAGCTACTTATGTTTTAGGGGTCTATTTCTAGAGGATTTCTTTCAAGGTGACAAGGTAGTGGCCTTTATTCTCAAGTATCCTCGATTGAAGGCATCAAGCTGGTTGGTGGTGCTGCATGATTAGTGGAAGTCCTCGCAGCAGCCCCATTCTCCCTGCTAGCTCTCAACAGGTGGACGGACACCCTACACTCCTTGAAACCCCATTGTAAATGACAATGACGCGCTACTCATGGTCACACTTTGACTTCCTAGACTCATCACTGGGGACTTTTTCAGGCTTGCTCTGCTTTTGTGTTAAGTCCTACTGAGATTTTTCCCCGGCATGTCTTGATGAAAATGCCTCCCCTCCCCATCTCTCATCCCCACTCCAACCATGCTCCACACCCTCATTCCTCATCTGCACTGTTGCTCCTCACCCTCTGCTCTTCAAGTCAGCCAAGTTCTCCACCGCAGCATCAGACCATCTCCTGCAGCCATCCTTTTCCTGGTAGGAGCTTTTCCTCTGATTTTGTTTCTTCTTTAGTTTAATAATCTAGGATAAAATAAATGGCCCGGCTCATGTTTATTTATGCCAGGCAAATAAAGATAGAAAACGGTGTTCCTGGACTACACTAAGAGACCCAAACTCATCCTGAGACCCAGGGCTAAACTAGCTGGCATAAGAAGCTCACATGTTTGAACACAGTCCCCAGATGGTGGTGCTGTTCAGGAAGGTTATGTAACCTTTGTAGGTGGGGCCTCTATGGAGGAAATAGGTCACTGCTGGGGTGGGCCTTGGGGAGGGTGCTATAGCCCAGCTCCACTTCCTGTTTTCTCTGCTTGCTAGCTGAAGGCACAGTGTCACCAGATAGCCTCACACTTCCTCCAGATCCCCCACCCTCACCTAGTGAGGGACTGTATCTCCTTAAATGGTAAGCCACAATGATCCCTTTTGTCCTGGATGCTCCTTGCTGGTAATTTAATCACAGCAAGGAGAAAAGAAACCAACATGGACAGGTAATGTTTTGAACACTTACTTTTAATAGCCACACATTTGGTTGCTCTTAAAACTATATTATTCTGAACTGTAGTATGGTCTAGCCAGGAACATTTTCTGAACCTCACCAAGTGGATAATTTATGCCTTCTTCCAAGAGGATAACACACTTAAAAACAACCCTCATCCTCTGCCCTCCCCTGGCTCCTCTCTTTTATTCCCAATCTTTCCCTCCACTTTGACTTGCTTTGGGGCAAATGTCTCATAAAAATCCTTGTCTTTTTCTTGTTCTTCAGGTCTTCTTTCTTCTAGAAAAAGACCCTTTCTTTAAAAATCATGATAGTCTGACAAGCTGAGGGCAATTACCTGATCAATATCAGTCCGAATGAGAAGCCCATGATGGATGCCCCCTTGGATTGAAAGGAAAGTAGCAGAGACATATTAAATTAAGCTAGTCTCATTTGGACAATCACTAGAAGATGCTGAAGCAAGGTAATTTGACCTTTAAAAAAATCAAGAATGGTTTGCATGATCTCAGTCAGTATGAAGAAAACTCTCAGACGAGGTAATTACCAAATTTCAATAATCACAGGGTTTTGCAACAAAGGATTTTCCTTGAGTCTTTTTGGATCTCAAACTACAAATTAAGAAAAAGTAGTGAGCCCATTTCTTCCGTTCCTGTGGTGTAGGTGGGGGTATTCCATGCACAGAATGGGCATGAGGCAAAACGGGAAATGAGGTCTTGCCAGCTCCTCACACAGGACAAGTCTTAACCCACTTTTTTTCCAACTTGGCAGCTTAATAAACATTTTAATTATACTTTAACTTGAGACATCTTCTAAAGCCAAACAG